ACCTGATTTGTAGCATATTTTACTTTCCATAGTGTAAATGGACTATAACCCACCAGGTTCCTCTGTCCAAGGGAATTCTCCTGGCAGGAGTACTGGAATGGGCTGCCATGCCCTCCTCCAGGGGATCTTCCCAACCCAGGGACTGAACCCAGGTCTTTTGCCTTGGAGGTGGATTCTTTACCATCTGAGCTACCAGGGAAGCTGACTAAGCACGTAGTATAAATACTTTCACCCTGGCCAATTTCAAGTTACTATTTAAATACTAGCTCACACAGCATTGTAAAGCAATTTTTCCTCTAATTAAAAAATAAATTAAAAATAATACAGCAGCACAGAAAATGAAAAAAAAACTAGCTCACAGAATTCCTAAATTTTTAACAATTGGCCCTTGTGAGCCACTTCAAGCTTGTAGTACATCACTGAAAATAATTCAAGATAGTAGCACAGCACTGAAAATGTTATATTTATTTAGGTCAACTTAATTTCTCTCTTTTATTAGATTTATTCCTAGGTATTTTATAGTTTTTTAATGTAATTGCAAGTGATATATATTTTTCTTATTTAATATCCTAGTCGTTGACATATAGAAATGGATTCATGTCAATGTATAGCAAAACCACTACAATATTGTAAAGTAATTAGCCTCCAATTAACATAAATAAGTTTATGTTTTTAAAAAAGACATGGAGGTGATTTTATCTGTATCTGTCTGTGTGTTAGTCAGGGTCCGACTCCTTGCGAGCCCATGGATTGTAGCCCGCCAGGCTCCTCTGTCCGTGGGATTCTCCAGGCAAGAGTACTGGAGTGGGTTGCCATTTCCTTCTCCAGTTTGTGCCTTTATATGCATGAGGTTTGCTAATATTTTGTTTAGGATTTTTGCAAAGTGGTTTTGTAATGTATTTTGTTGTAATGTTAATGTTCTTGTCAAATTTTGGTTTCAAGGTAGTTTGGCCTCATAAAATTAGGTAGAAATCCTCTGGAAAAGTTTGTATTTAATTGTATCATTCACAGATAAAACACTCTAGGACTGGAGATTTTTATGTGGGTAAGATTTTAAATTGCCAGTTTAGTTATCTTAGTAGATACAAGGCTATCAGGATTTTATATTCCTCTTGCATCATTACTAAGTTGTGTTTTTCTAGGACTTTGTCCCTTCTAAATACTCAAATCAGTTATATGTTGGTCATAATATCCTCTTATTTTCTTTCTAACATCTGTAGAATCTGTAGTGATCTCCCCTTTGTCTTTAGAAATACTCACTATTTATATATTCTCTTCTTTCCTTTGTTAATATTAGTACAGGTATTTATAACTTTTGTAAGTCTTTCCAAAACCCAGTTTTTTGTTGTATTGCTCTTATTTAGTTTGTTTTCCATTTCAGTAATTCCTGCTCTTTCTTTATTATTTATTTTTTTCTACTTTTGAGGGGTTTAACTTGTTCTAACTATTTGAGATAGAATCTTAGGTTATTATTTTTTTTTCATTTTTTCTACTGTATACATTTAAGTTTATAAATTTCCTTCTCAGCACATCTTTACTTTATCCCACAAGTTTTATATGTAATATTATTATTGTTATTTAATTCAAAATATATTCTAAATTCCAGTGTGATTTTTGACATATGATTTATTTAGAAAAACCTTCTTTAATTTCCAAACGTATGGGGGTTTTCTAATATCTTTTGCCTCTGATTTGTAGTTTAATTCCATACTGTATACTGCACAGTTATTTGTACCCATCATCTTCATTATTCTAATAATTTAAAAATTATATAAGCTGTATTGATTGTATGAAATATTACTTTATAACCACCATTATGGGAACATCTCTATTGCTAGAGTTAAAGGAATACTGTTCATTCTCTGTATCTGCAATTGACTGCTTATTGTTTAGCAGGTATCATTATGCCTTAATTTACTTTCATAATTTGAAATTATAATATTTTAAAAATCTCATCTTTCTGTACTTCTTTTGTTTTGAAGGAGGAGAAGTTGACCTCAGTGACTTGGATAATGTCATGCAAAATATGGGAATAGAGCCCACACCTAAAGAACACTTGGAGCCAGTGAATTTACTTCCAGTTTATGGTGAGCATTTCAAATATCAGCATAGATTTCAGGAGAGTTAATATTACCTTTAAGAGAGTTAGTATAGTCATCGAAAAAGTTATTCAGTTTTGCAAGCAGTAGTTGGCTTTTGAGGAGATAATGATATCCTTAAAAAGCCATTTTATCCAATACCCCAGGTTTATTATAGATAAATTATAAGTTAGAGATAATTAAACATATCCAAATTTTACAGATATTTTGAATATTTAAGAATTTATAAATTGTCATTTAAAATATATATAAATAAATAGCCCAATCAATTCTAAATCTTGACATCAGGGTGAGGAATGTTGATAGTTATCTTTCATTCCATTGAGATGCCTATAGAAAATAGGAGAAGGAGGAGGAGAGATTTAAAACTAAACTAGTAGAGGGGAAAAAAGATAGAGTCAAAAAAACTATAAAATAAGGAAATGTTTTTGCTTTAGCATCAGCTCAGTTCAGTTGCTCAGTCGTGTCCGACTCTGTGGCCCCATGAACCATAGCACACCAGGCCTCCCTGTCCATCACCAACTCCCAGAGTTTACCCAAACTCATGTCCATTGAGTGAGTGATGCCATCCAACCATCTCATCCTTTGTCATTCCCTTCTCCTGTCCGCAATCTTTCCCAGCATCAGGGTATTTTCCAATGAATCAGCTCTTTGCATCAGGTGGCCAAAGTACTGGAGTTTCAGCTTCAACATCAGTCCTTCTAATGAACACCCAGGACTGATCTCCTTCAGGATGGACTGGTTGGATCTCCTTGCAGTCCAAGGGAATCTCAAGAGTCTTCTCCAACACCACAGTTCAAAAGCATCAATTCTGTGCTCTTCTTTCTTTCTTTTTTTTTTCCATTTATTTTTAGTAGTTGGAGGCTAATTACTTTACAATATTGTAGTGGTTTTTATAGTCCAACTCTCACATCCACACATGACCACTGGAAAAACCATAGCCTTGACTAGATGGACATCTGTTGGCAAAGTAATGTCTCTGCTTTTTAATATGCTGTCTAGATTGGTCATAGCTTTCCTTCCAAGGAGTAAGCGTCTTTTAATTTCATGGCTGCAGTCACCATCTGCAGTGATTTTGGAGCCCCCCAAGATAAAGTCAGCCATTGTTTCCACTGTTTCCCCATCTATTTGCCATGAAGTGATGGGACCGGATGCCATGATCTTAGTTTTCTGAATGTTGAGCTTTAAGCCAACTTTTTCACTCTCCTCTTTCACTTTCATCAAGAGGCTCTTTAGTTCTTCTTCACTTTCTGCCATAAGGGTGGTGTCATCTGCATATCTGAGGTTATTGATATTTCTCCCGGCAATCTTGATTCCAGCTTGTGCTTCTTCCAGCCCAGCGTTTCTCATGATGTACTCTGCATATAAGTTAAATAAGCAGGGTGACAATATACAGCCTTGACATACTCCTTTTCCTATTTGGAGCCAGTCTGTTGTTCCATGTCCAGTTCTAACTGTTGCTTCCTGACCTGCATACAGGTTTCTCAAGAAGCAGGTCAGGTGGTCTGGTATTCCCATCTCTAAGAATTTTCCACAGGTTGTTGTGATCCACACAAAGTCAAAGTCAAAGGCTTTGGCCTAGTCAATAAATCAGAAATAGATGTTTTTCTGGAACTCTCTTGCTTTTTCGATGATCCAGTGGATGTTGGCAATTTGATCTCTGGTTCCTCTGCCTTTTCTAAAACTAGCTTTAACACCTGAAAGTTCATGGTTCATGTATTGCTGAAGCCTGGCTTGGAGAATTTTGAGTATTACTTCACTAGCGTGTGAGATGAGTGCAATTGTGCAGTAGTTCGAGCATTCTTTGGCATTGCCTTTCTTTGGGATTGGAATGAAAACTGACCTTTTCTAGTCCTGTGGCCACTGCTGTTTTCCAAATTTTTGCTTTAGCATAGTAGGTATTAATAATTGTCTCAGGTGCTAAAGAATTGATATATCTACCATATTAAGAAGTTTTCTTACATTTGGTTTTATCATTTCTAGAAGATAAATTTTAGGAGCAAATTATTTATTGCTCCAATTATTTATTGCTTCTGTTATTAATTATAATAATAAATTAATTATTATTACTTATTATTAGATAAATTTTTGGAGCAAATTATTTTAATGGTTTATATTTCTGTACTTGGATATTTAGTATTGCTTTAGTATATCTAGTTCTTTTTTTTGTGACCTAAATTATGTTATTTTCTTTCATCTACATCTGATGGAAAAATATATAAGAATAGGTTGTTGAACTGTGTGAAAGCTACAAAAGGTGAGAGAGATACAAACTGATAAGTCAGATTGAGACTGTTATGTGTCACTCTTGTCTTTTCCTAGTCATTAACCATTGCTTGCTGTCATTCTCATATATATATACATATATTTCCATAATTCTTTTAATACATATATATGTGTTTTGTGCCAGTCTCAGCCTATCAGTAACCAGTGTTGTGGTTGGATTGGCCCTTGTGATTATTGTTACAATTGCAAGATACCCTTCAATATTAATCATCAGGAAGCTTTGGAAAAACAAAGGCTTATTACTTACATGACCTGGAAATTACTCGGTACATCTGGGGTCACATAGTGAGGTTGCAAGGAGAGAGAGAGAGTGTGTGCATGGGCCTGAAATTCCACTTTTATTATGGTTGAGGGTGGGAGCCTAGGGTTTTGTGTTCTCAGTCTTTACTGGTGAATTTAGAACATAAGAGTGAACAAAAACCACTACAATATTGTAAAGTAATTAGCCTCCAACTAATAAAAATAAATGAAAAAAAAAGAATTGGACCATAAAAAAATAAAATAAAAATAAATTTTAAAAAAAGTGGAAGTTTAAAGATTGGGAAGAGAGTAAGTGGTTCAAATAATTGGAATCTAAATCAACCAAGATCTCTAAAACAAAGGAGCTTCAGTGCTGGGAGGTGTGTGACAGTCAATGTATTCATTCGAGATAACCATCTTTGAAGTGAGTGCACTTGAATTACAAAAAGAAAAAAAAAACACTGTCAGGATTTACACTACTCTTCATATTGATTAAATAATCTCCTGTTTTATTTTAAAGAGATGTTCTAACAGTTTAGGTTTACCTCAATTTTGGCTGTGGATGTATTAAAATTTAAGGCTATTATATACTGAGATGGGCTTCCCTGGTAGCTTAGTTGATAAAGAATCCACCTGCAATTAAGGAGACCCTGGTTCGATTCCTGGGTCGGGAAGATCCCCTGGAGAAGGGATAGGTTACCCACTCCCATATTCTTGGGCTTCCCTGGTGGCTCAGATGGTAAAAGGATCTACCTGCAATGCAGGAGACCTGGGTTCAATCCCTGTGTTTGGAAGATTCCCTGGAGGAGAGCATGGCAACCCACTCCATTATTCTTGTCTGGAGAATCCCAATGGACAGAGGAGCCTGGAGGGCTACAGTCCATGGGGTCGCAAAGAGTTAGACATGACTGAGCGACTAAGCACAGCATGTATTGAAATACAGTGACCAAACTGAGCACAGTTACTTGTATAAATGTTTATATTAAAAACTGTTATGTTTGTTTTTTCTGCTAAAATTAACCTGAGTGTTTTCTCAATCTGCTTTCAATATGTTGTGTTATATAAATTAATAGATTAGTTTTAGTTCATTAATGACCTTCTTTAAACACTTAAATGTCCTTGACCTCTTTTTTATGATGAAATTAATAACCATAGTACATAGGCATTAATATTTATTATATTCTGAAATTTATGTCAATTTCCTCATGTATTTCTCTTTTTAAGGATTGCAAGTTGGTGTTCGGGATCTTGATGCTATTCTTGGAAACATGTCAGTCAAACTCACAGCTGAGGAACCTATTGACCTAACTCCATATATACCAGTTGATGGTAAGTGCCTTAGACATCATTGTGCCCTAATAAGAATTTGGGGTTTGGGGCTAATATTTTTGGTAGTACTTATTTGGCATAAATAAGAATGGTTTTTACCTCTTAATATATTAAAATTTCCCTAAGAAAGGCAATGCCAAAGAATGCTCAAACTACTGCACAATTGCACTCATCTCACATGCTAGTAAAGTAATGCTCAAAATTCTCCAAGCCAGGCTTCAGCAGTATGTGAACCGTGAACTTCCAGATGTTCAAGCTGGATTTAGAAAAGGCAGAGGAACCAGAAACCAAATTGCCAACATCTGTTGGATCATCGAAAAAGCAAGAGAATTCCAGAAAAACATCTATTTTTGCNTTTTTCCAGTAGTCATGTATGGATGTGAGAGTTGGACTATAAAGAAAACTGAGTGCTGAAGAATTGATGCTTTTGAACTGTGGTGTTGGAGAAGACTCTTGAGAGTCCCTTGGACTGCAAGGAGATCCAGCGAGTCCTGAATATTCATTCAGGAAATCAGTCCTGGCTATTCATTGGAAGGACTGATGTTGAAGCTGAAACTCCAATACTTTGGCCACCTGATGCGAAGAACCAACTCATTTGAAAAGACCCTGATGCCCTGGAAAGATTGAAGGCGGGATCTGAAGGGGATAACAGAGGATGAGATGGTTGGATGGCATCACCTACTCAATGGACGTGAGTTTGAGTAAACTCCGGGAGTTGGTGATAGACAGGGAGGCCTGGTGTATTGCAATCCATGGGATTGCAAGGAGTCAGACATGACTGAGTGACTGAAATTACTGATTGACTGATATTAAAATTGATGCTATTTTTTTTTTTTTACCATTTATTCATTCAGTAAATATTACTGAGCATCACATATTGGACGTTCTGCTAAGTGCTAGAGATTGAATAGCAAGTAAAAACAACCATAGTCCTTGACCTAAGCAGCTTAATATCTACTATATCACAATTCTTCATGTACTAGTAGAAGCTGAATTAGAAGTAGAGAATTCAGACAATACTGCAAAGCTACAGTAATCAAATCAGTGTGGTATTGGCACAAAAACAAACATATGTATCAATGGAACAAAATAGAGTGCCCCAAAACCCACACACCTACAGTCAAATAATCTTTGACAAAGGACACAAGAATATATAATGGGAAAAAGACAGTCTCTTAAGTAAAAAGTGTTTGGAAAGTTGGACAGCTGCTTGTAAACCAATGAAGTTAGCACACACAATCTCACTACACACAATAATTAACTCAAAATGGCTTAAATATAAGACATGACATCATAAAATACCAGAGGAGGACACAGGCAAAACATTCTCTGACATGAATGTACCAGTGTTTTCCTAGATCAGTCTCTCAAGGCAATAGAAATAAAAATGAAAATAAACAAATGAGATCTAATCAAACTTACAAGTTCTTGCACAGCAAAGGAAACAATAAACAAGAAGACAACATACAGAATGGGAGAAAATATTTGCAAGTGATGTGATTGACAATGGTTTAATTTCCAAAATATAACAATAGCTCATACAACTCAATAACAAAGAAACAGGCAACCGGATAAAAAAATGATCAGAAGACCTAAAGAGACATTTCTCAAAAGAAGACATACAAATGGTTAACAGACACGTGAAAAGATGCTCAACGTTGCTAATTATTAGAGAATTGTGAATCAAAACCTCAATGAGATACCACCTCACTCCAGTCAGAATGGCTATCATTAAAAGTCTACAAATAACAAATGCTGGAGAGGATGTGGAGAAAAGGGAACCCTCCTACACTGTTGGTAGGAATGTAAGTTTGTATCACGACTGTGGAAAATAGTGTGCAGGTTCCTCAGCAAACTAAAGATAAAATTACCATATGATCTATCAGTCCCACTCCTGGGCATATTTCCAGACAAAGCTTTAATTCAAAAAGATATGGACATCCCTGTGTTCATAGCAGCATTATTCACAATAGCCAAGATATGGCTGTATAGCTTGGGGAATATATTCAATATCCTGTAATAAGCTGTGATGAAAAAGAATATGAAAAAATATATATATATATACACACACACAGACACATATACATATTATTACTGAGTGACTTTGCTTTGCAGCAGTCATGAACACAACATTGAGATTCAACTATACTTCAATAAAAAATAAATTTAAATAAAGAGGAAGGGGTTCCATGGTGGCTTAGTGGTAAAGAATTTGCCTGCCAGTATGCGAGACAGAGATTCCATCCCTGGTCTGAGAAGACACCACGTGCCACATGGCAACTAAGCCCATGTGGCACAATTGCTGAACCTGCGCTCTGGAGCTGGGAAGCTGCAACTACTGAAGTCCTGTGCCCTAGAGCTGGCGCACCACAGTGAAGAGTAGCTCCTGCCCACCACAACTAAAGAAATCCCATGACAACAATGAAGACCCAGCATAGATAAAATGATTCATTAATTTTATTTTATTTATTTTTTTTTTAGTTTCTTCAAGTTTGTGGCTTCCTTTTTCATTTTTTTAAAATTTTTTCCATTTATTTTTATTAGTTGGAGGCTAATTACTTTACATCATTGCAGTGGTTTTTGTTGTACATTGAAATGAATTAGCCATGGATTTACATGTATTCCCCATCCCGGTCCCCCCTCCTACCTCCCTCTCCACCTGATCCCTCTGGGTCTTCCCAGTGCACCAGACCTGAGCACTTGTCTCATGCACCCAGCCTGGGCTGGTGATCTGTTTCACCCTAGATAATATACATGTTTTGATGCTGTTCTCTTGAAACATCCCACCCTCACCTTCTCCCAGAGTCCACAAGTCTGCTCTATACATCTGAGTCTCTTTTTCTGTTTTGCATATAGGGTTATCGTTACCATCTTTCCAAATTCCATATATATGTGTTAGTATACTGAATCAGTTCTAATGAGATGGATGAAACTGGAGCCCATTATACAGAGCGAAATAAGCCAGAAAGATAAAGACCATTACAGATTCATTAATTTTAAAACTTTTATTTTTAGAAAAAAATTATATTTTTAAATTAAAAAAAAATAAAGAAAAGAGGAAGATGCTACTAACAAGCTAAGAACTAAATTCTTTCCACTTAATTATAATTAAATGCTCTTTCCACATTATGATTGTATGGGCTTTTAAAATCTATTACCCCCGTACTCCTTAAAAAAAGATTTAAGTATAAATGCCTAGAGTTAGATACTAGAACTTTTAGCAATAAAACTTCATTTTTTGTTTCCAAAGTCATTATCTGGACTCCTTCCCAATAATTAGTGTATCTTATATGATGGGAAAGCTGAATTCTAGTTCAGCATAGCAAGTGGTGAAGAAAAGTTTTGGTAAAACTTTTCTTTTATGAGAGTTGATCTCATAATAAAGCAAGTACTTGCTAATAAAACTTATTTTATATCAGCAATCTATATCATCCTAATTTACTACAAAGTTATTCTCATAATTGCTTGTTTTTTTGCCTTGATTATCATTCAGAGATTATACTAGAATTAACAAGGAAGTCTTTATCTGAAGTGCCAATGGCCTATTTGTTAGGTCAGGTACCTGTTTATCCTGCAGTTGGTTGTAATGCTTCAAAGACAGTTTGTTTTTTTTAATTACATCAAATCATGGCATCATTCACAATAATACCATAAGTCTCCATTTCTTTTGCTTTGAAGAAGGAGAGGTTGTTGTCAATGACATGAAAAAAGTTCCTGGAAACATGGGAGTAGAACTCAAAGAAAAGAAACATGAGTTGGTGAACAACGTGCCAATTAATGGTAAGAATTTCTGTAACTATTCTGCTTCCTATCTAGGTGAAAAACAAAAACTGTCCAAAAAACCTTTAGAAGGCAACATTGTTTTATCTTAAGAAGAAATACCAACTCTGTCATCTCATTTTTAGTTTGGGAATCAGTACATGACCATGGATGAAAAATACTGGTTCTTATTTTTTAATCCATTGTAAGTCCTAAAGTTTCAAATGAGAATTAAGGGGGAAAAGGAAGGCATTGAAAAGTATTGGAATGAAAATAAATGAGACATTACAAAAAATAAATGGGGAAGGGGCTTCTGCATACTAGAGTCCAGGCAATAACTACCTTAGATGCCAATGAGTGAAAAGGGGCCTTCTTAGCAGTTTGCTCCATTTCATATTTTATAAAAAATTATTGAGAGTAAATTTGTACTTTGTAGGGAAATGTAAGTTCTGACTTTGTGAAATGGTGGCTTCTATCCTGCTTAATGAATTTTTATATCACTTTTGTGAGATTTTGATTAGTATATTTCTTAAAGCCCATGGAAAGATCAGTCAGAATAGGATGATTGATGGTATGAAGGCCTTTAAAGATGAGCAAAAAGAAAAAATAGGATATTAAATCTTGATAGCTTCACCCTTCTAATATTTTGATGGCATGCTTATGCTTCTTTTAATCCATCTGTACTTTTGCAGATAATCTGCATTATATGTTAGAAAAAACACATCATAATTTGTTGAAAGTTTATGGAAAAGAAGAAAATAAGTTCTATCTAGTCTGAAGAGTGATTAAGAAACAAAAAGAGTAGTAATTGCTAAGAAATTTACTCAGAAAAAGAAAAATTTCTCTGGGTGTCAGCAAAAAAAAAAAAATCATGCTTATTGGGTAGAAGTATGAAATTTGTTTTCCCCACTGCTGTGTTTCACTAGCAGTTCATCAACTTCTTTTAAAACTTTCTGCTATGTGGAGTGGCCAAGGGAAGAGATTTTATTCTATTATTGAACATCTTTTAAACACTTGAACAGAATTTATTTAGCCATGGGCTTTGTACTAAAACCTATAACCATATTATGCAGGAATTAACAGTTTTTGGTTACATTTAAGAATCACTAAATTTTGGGTTTATTCCTCTCAGTTTCTTAAAGGGAAGGGGATGATTGTATCAACAAGTTATATACTTTTCTGTAAAACATGAGGTTGAATCTCATAGGCAAAAAACTTTAAAATCTGAAATAGAATCTAAAAATTAATAACTGAGCATTTAACCACTCAAGAGGTCTTGGGCTTATGAAATGCTGAAATGAATCTCTAAAGCTACTAATCTGGCACTAAGAAGACATTGTAAAACCTCACAGAATCTATTTCTAACTAGAAATAAATTCTGTCTTTAAGACTTATATTGAGTTTGTTATATCAGCAACTTCTTTCACTGTGTATCATAAACAATGCTGAAGTTTCTGAAGACCACAAAAGACCAGAGAAGAGTCAGGGAAAAGAGAACAAATTGGGACAAGGAGGGTGGAAATAGATGAAAACATTTTAATTGAAAAATTAAATCTAGGTCTACATAGCAAACATTGAAGTGAAGGATTAGCAATTACTCAGCAGAAGTGATCTGGGAGTTCAAGCAAATGAGAATGGCCCCTTGTTATTGTTTGGAAAGATGAGATCTGTGGTCTACAGCAACAGGTGCTAAACTACCTTGGGCACATTTTGTTGTTTCAGGTTGTCCCCAAGAAACGGTAATAGGAAATCGGTTCTAGATTTATCTATCCTATTGAACTTTTCTGAACATTGGAAATTAGTCTTGATAGCCCTATTAAAAGTGTTAAATGATAGTACGGAGACATGAATTATATTTTCTCTCTTTTTTTATATCAGTAACACAAGCTAATTAGTAATACACAGACATGAATGTATTTTTAATATTTTGGAAACATTGTATTTTTGTCATTTTCCACTCCTACTGCTTTCCTAAGGAGGGAAGGTTAACATGAGTACTTTGGACAGCATTCTGGGGGAAATGAGAATTAAACTCATAGAAAAGGAAAAGGAAAAACTGACAGAAAACCTGCTAGCTAATGGTGAGTATTTTAGAAATAACTGTGCCTTTGATGGGAATTTGTGCTTGTAAATATGAGTATGAGAATTTCTAAAACTAGTGATGTTTAGTACCCGAAAAGTATTTTGTTGATCTTGAGAAGAATTAATTTCTTATGTAAAGTTAAGTACTATTTCTTCATTTCTATAAATCCCAGGGAGCAGAAAACAGTTGTCTTTAGTTTATTGTTCTGTTCAACACTCTCTCACAAAAAACTTAATTTTCCCTATAATTCCTGAAAATGTTCATATTTATATCTTTGAACCAATTTTCTCACCCAAATATTGAATTGGTATATTTTAATTTCTATAGGACATTTCTATGCTGTCCCTCAGACATCATGGATTTTGTCAGTAACTGAGTTCATAATTATCACTGTGGTACTTAATGAAAGCAGCCACATGGGGCTTTTAGAAATATATTGGGGGCACGTTTGGTTGTCACAGGTGATTTTAAGATTGGGTACTATTAGTATTAAATTCTTTGAGCACTTCCCAGGTGGCACAGTGGTAAAGAATCCATCTGCCAATGCAGGAGATGCAAGAGATGTGGGTTTGATCCCTGGGTCAGGAAGATCCCCTGGATATGGGCATGGCAACCCACTCCAGTATTCTTGCCTGGAGAATCCCATGGACAGAGGATCTTGGCGGGCTGCAGTCCATAAGGTCACAAAGAGTTGGACACGACTGAGCACGAATGCATGAGTGCCAGGGATACTAAGTGCTCTACAATTAATAGGACTTTTCAACACACTGAAGAATTGTTCCACAGATAATACCAATTGCATGTTCAGTAATTGAGAAACTCTGGACCCTAACTTGACTTGTATTTCCATACTTTTTCACTATTTGGTTCCATCATTTTTATCTTAGTAATATAAGCTGGAATCCTGAGAGTTAGCCTTCACTCAACTCTAACTAATTATATTACAAATGAGTACCATTCGTCTATAAAATGTGAGCTTCTTTTGCCAGAGACCATACCTGGATCTTCATTTTACATCTTTATCCCTCCCTCATCTTAGTACCTTTCACAAATTATAATAAATATTTAATGAAAGAATTAGAATAAATAAAAGAAGTTTCTATTCAAAATGAGAGAAAAACAAAAAGAGTGCTAGTGGCTGGTACTTACAGTAGCCTATTGACAGATGCCTCAACTATTTACTTACTATTATACTCTTCATACCAATTATTAATACCACAGTGTTGTCATAGTTATCCCACACAGAGTTAACTATCTTCTATTCTTGTAAGAAATATTTGGTCTTACTTGCATTTAGGAGCCCATGTTCTCAGGGAAGTTTATAATCCATTGCAGTCTATTCAGTTCTCAATGACATAATGGGAAAACAGTTTTATATACAAAATGTAAAGTTTTTTGCTTTCTTCCAGTTTCTTTTCTGTCATCTTCTTATTCTACCCTCATGTCCTTCTAATGTGAGCCAGTGGGCATCCCTTTTGAGATTATAATTTACTTTATTGTGACTAACTACAATTATATTATAGTTAGTAGAGTTATCAAAGGACTTTGTGAACACCCAGATCACTCCAAAAAGGAATCTCATGCCCTTTAGCTATCACCCTACAAACCCTATGTAATTACTAATCTATCTTCTGTCTCTGTAGATTTGCCTTACCATTTCAAATAAATGGTATAATATGTGGGTTTTGTGACTAGCTTATTTCACTTAGTATGTACAGGTTTATCTGTATTGTATGTATCAGTTAATTCATTCTTATTTTTTGCTTTTTTTCAATATTTTTATTGTGATAAAATGCACGTAACAAAATTTACTATCTTAATCATTTTAAAGGATACAGTTCAGTGGTGTTAAGCTCATTGATACTATTGTACAACCATTCAGTTCAGTTAAGTTCAGTCGCTCAGTCATGTCCGACTGTTTGTGACTGCATGGACCGCAGCACTCCAGGCCTCCCTGTCCATCACCAACTCCCAGAGTTTACCCAAATTAATGTCCATTGAATCTGTGATGCCATCCAACCATCTCATCCTCTGTCATCTCCTTCTCCTCCTGCCTTCAATCTTTCCCAGCATCAGGGTCTTTTCAAATGAGTCAGCTCTTCACATCAGGTGGCCAAAGTATTGGAGTTTCAGCTTCAACATCAGTCCTTCCAGTGAACACTCAGGACTGAGCTCCTTTAAGATGGACTGGTTGGATCTCCTTGCAGTCCAAGGGACTCTCAAGAGTCTTCTCCAACACCACAGTTCAAAAGCATCAATTCTTCGGCGCTCAGCTTTCTTTATAGTCCAACTCTCACTTCCATACATTACTACTGGAAAAACCATAGCCTTGACTAGACGGACCTTTGTTGACAAAGTAATGTCTCTGCTTTTTAATATGCTATCTAGGTTGGTCATAACCTTCCTTCCAAGGAGTAAGCGAGTTTTAATTTCAACCATTACCATCATCCATCTCCAGAATTTTTTTCATTTTGCAAATTGAAACTTTATATTCATTAAACAAAAGCTCCCCGCTGCCCCTTATCCCCAGCCCCTAGCAGCCACCATTCTGTTTCTGCCCCTATGACTTTCTATCCCTCTGATTTCATATAAGTGGAATGACTGTTTTATTTCATGTGGCATAATGTCCTCAAGGCTCACCTATGTTATAGCATATGTTGGAATTTCCCGCCTTGTAAGCCTCAATAATATTCCACTGTAGGTGCATCCCTCATTCTGCTTATCTGCTCATCCATCAGTGAACACTGTGTTGCTTCCACATTCTAGTTGTTTATAATGCTGCTATGAACATGAGTGTACTGCTTCATTCCTTTTTATTGCCAAATAATATTCCATTGTATGGATATTATTTTCTTTATCTGCTTATCAGTTGATAGGCATTTGGGTTCTTTCCACTTTTGGGGCATAATAAGCATTTCCAAACATACACGAAAGTAGTAATAGAATAATATAATTATTCTTTCTCACATGTTCCTGTCATCTAGATTGAACAAGTAGGAAGATTTTGTTACACTTGTTTTTTTTTTTTATTTTTCGGACTGAAATAGTTCAAAACAAGTTCCAACATCATTTTGTTCTTATGTACTTCAGTATGCATCTCTTAAAAATACAGACCATTTTTTATGTTACTGCAATGCCATTATATAATTTAATTCAAAATTTTCTTACTTATCTCTAGTTTTTTTACAGTTGTTAATAGTTTATTCAAGTCAAACACCAAAGTTTTCACCCTGTATCTATTAAGACACTTGAATCTCATGGAATGTAAAGCTGATCCTCCTTCCTCCTTCTCTTTTACTAAAGTTCGAATTTACTGAAGAAACTGTGTCTGTTGCCAGTTGTCTTGTAGAGTATCCCACTTACTAAATTTGTTTTCTCATCTGTCTTGTTCCTCTAGCCTATGTATTCCCTATAACTAGAAGTCAGCTCTAATGGTTTAATTATTTTCAATTTTAACATTTTTTTGACAAGAATACTTCATATGTGATACTGTAACATTTTACATTTATTTCTATCAGGAAATACGATCAATTTTATCTTTTTGAAAATAGCTATACAATTGTCACAAAGAATTGGACCCAACTTAGTGACTGAACAACAACAAAAAACAGTTGTCACAAATTGCTTATTTCAAGTTCCATCTTCATTCCCTATAATGTGAGATGCCATCTTAACTATATACTTAGTTTCTATATTCACTTGCCTGTTTTTGGAATTCATATTCTGTCCTATTGGTCTAGTTATTCATACACTAATACTAAATTGCCTTGAATATGACAGCTTTATCATGTTTTAATATAGGTTGGTCTAACCCCAGGCCCTCGTTCCCCTCCCCAAGACACATAAGTATATGGCTTCCCCCAGGTCTGGCTGTTCTTTATGGGAATGTCTTTCTGTGTGACTTTTTATTAGTAGGATATTTGTCTTTTTTTTTTAATCTTCCATTTTCTATGTAATATATTCCCAAGTGAGAAGATAATTGATTTCTTAGGGTTTGGAAATCACTTATGTGGTCAGAGTACTTATTGTATGTACTTGCTTATTATTGTGCCTAGTCAAAAAACCCCAACATGAAGAAATATGAAGGTATATGGTGCACCATTATTTCTTATTTTCTTTGGTACAGAAATAGCAACTATTCTTTCAAATTTAGATTGAACATAAAAATCTTCCACATTCAGTATAGACTGGCATTATTCTGAGTCAAGCTTAGATCATGTGATGATGATGCTGTGCCCAGTTTGTTGTAGTTTGGGCCTCCATGGATATAAATGATGCCATACATGCCTCAGTAGGTGTGCACAGTAAGAGTACCCATGAACATTGTGAGCAACTCATTAAGAAGCTCCAGGAAAAAGAGGAAATGCCTCTTCCTGGCAGTATGCTTACCTGCCTAGCTTCCTGTTTTTCATGAGACTTTGGACTAGTAATTCCTTACTCTCTTTCAGCTCTTCATTGCTTTCAAAATGATGCTTGTTATATTTTATTCAAGATTTTAGTTGCTTTAAGCAGTAAGATGGGTCTGAATAACGTAGTCATCCAAATGGATGGAAACAACTTGCTGGTCAATTTTTGTTAGGAGTTAAGGTATCTAATCTGGGAGTTCAGAAAAGAAAAATAAACTTTACTCATTTTCATTTATTTTACCATTTGCTGTAAATAATTAAGAACTTGCTTAACCATTTTGAATATATCAATTCTAATTCTAATATCCTTATTGACTGCCTTGGTATATATATGAAGAGACCTTATTAAATCTTGGCCTTCTTGATAAGGTGGAAGAAGAAGTTGTTGTTCAGTTGCTAAATCATCCAACTCTTGTGACCCCATGAACTGTAGCACACCAGGATTCTCTGTCCTTCACCATTTCCTGGAGTTTGCTCAAACTCATGTCCATTGAGTCAGTGATGCCATCCAACCACCTCGTCTTCTGTCATCCCCTTCTCCTGCCTTCAATCTTTCCCAGCATCAGGTCTTTTCTAATGAGTCGACTCTTTACATCAGGTAGCCAAAGTATTGGAGCTTCAGCTTCAGCATCAGTCCTTCCAATGACTATTCAGGGTTGATATCCTTTAGAATTGACTGGTTTGATCTCCTTGCTGTCCAGGGGACTCTCAAGAATCTTCTTCAGCACCACAATTCAAAAGCATCAGTTCTTCAACACTTAGCCTTCTTTATGGTCCAACTCTTACATTTGTACATGACTAGTGGAAAAACCAAACCTTTGACTATACAGACAAAGCTGTAATCATAATGCACAATAAGTAACATCAATGGTCACATTGTAGAACCAATAATTTTTTTGTACATGCTTTTCTTTTTACAAGATAAGATTATTGATGTCAATAAAGTGGGTACTCTTTTGCAAAACATGGGGATGAACTTTACAGAAAAAGAAATTAGTAATCTGACACACAGTCTACTAGGTGATGGTAAGTATTTAAGACATATTTGAATTGCTCAGGGTCTCTGGAGAATATGGACTTCTATAAAAGAAATCTCTGAAAACTCTTACTTGACATTGAGACAGAAGACAGTAAAGATGACTCAAGACAGAAAATAAACATGTTGATGTTGGACAAAAAGCAACAAAAATCTGTAAAGAAATTATACTTCAATTAAAAAATAAACATTTTTCTAAAAAAGAAAGTAAACATGTTTTGTCCCTTGATATTTCCAGCAATTTCTGATTCAGTTGAGAATATGGCCAGTGCCACTATTAGACTTGGATAGAACCAGAGAAAGACAGTACTCTCGGGGGAACGGAATGGTATACATTCCCTTTAACACAAGAATTTTTTTTTTTAATAGAAGAGACAACTAAGCCAAATGTGGGAAATTACTTAAAAAAAAAAAAAGAGTTCTATCACCACCATTATTTCCAGGGACTTTAGGACAGCAGAATAAAGGAGAAGTGATAAGTGTGGGACTTACTTCCTACACCACATGAGAAGGGCAGAGTCGTCCAGATAACCCAAGGGAAAGGACCATGAAGAATTCAAGCTGTCATGCAAGGAATGCAAGAATGCTCAGCCACTGATGCTTCTGCTTGCATCCTTATATTCCTGAACCAGATTCTGTGGTCCAAGGACTATGTTCCCAGACTTCTAATCTCCCTCAACGGGCTGGAGACAAACTCTAAAGAGCAGTAAATTTCACATTAGAGCTCAATTAATTCATAAACTAAATAAACAAAAGTTAAAGATATAAACCTGATATCACTCCAGTGAGGCTAAGTGTTTGAAACATTTCCTGACTATTTTACAATCTTAATTGAATTAATACTTGCTTATCTTATTAAGATGCATTTAATTGCATCATTGTATAGGACAGAACTGTTCCCTAAAATATTTTTTTGTTTCATTCTATAATTTTTATCACTTTCAATCTACCAGAAAGAATATGCAGATGATCTTCATTGTCTTATTTTCTTTGCATGGGATGACATATTCATTAGGAAAAGTGGGACTAGATGTGGAGCTATCACATATCATAATAGAAAAATATTTTTTTAGCTTAAGAGACCTATCTGAGATTATAATGGTACTTTTAAAAATATTGCTGTGCACCAGGTCCGAGCACTTGTCTCATGCATCCAACCTGGGCTGGTGATCTGTTTCACTCTAGATAATATACACGTTTCGATGCTGTTCTCTTGAAACATCCCACCCTCGCCTTCTCCCAGAGTCCACAAGTCTGTTCTATACATCTGAGTCTCTTTTTCTGTTTTGCATATAGGGTTATCGTTACCATCTTTCTAAANTCACTTTTTGAAATCTAGATGCAGAACAGAATTATTTTGGTATTTTTTTGAAAAATACAAATGCCCAAGAATTGCTTATTTGCCAGAGGTCCAGATATGTTTCTAATGAGCAGTCATATTTAAAAGCAACCAGACTGTATGAGAATCTTTTACTTTTATCTAGCTTGTTTCACTTTTTCTATTTCATATTCAGTGCTCCCATTTCATTTGGTTTATGTTTTCCAATCTATCCATCGATTTTTTTTAATGCTCTTTTCTCAAGCCTTTATCAAGCATATTAGAAAAGCTTTTTTGTGTGTGTATATATATATAATATGTATATATTTTACAAGACTTATGAATCTTTGCCTAACTAAAAAGTTTATGACATTTTGATTCCACTTGTCTGACTTAGTATGAACAGAATGCTAGATTTCTAATTCTAAAAAATAGATATGCAATAAGCAACAAAGGTTTTCTGTATAACACAGGGAACTATAGCCAGTACCTCGTAATAACCTATAATGGAAAACACAAATAACATATGTGTATAACTGAATCACACACACAAAAAAAGAATTCTACTTTCTGAAATTTAGTTATGTCTACCTTTTTACCAGCTTTTCTAAATGTCCTATGCACATCTAAAAACAATGTATAAAATACAAAATATTAAATATATTTGTGTAGGATATGATTAATATAAATTAATTAAATCACTGCAGATGGTGATTGCAGCCATGAAATTAAAATATGCTTACTCCTTGGAAGGAAAGTTATGACCAACCCAGATAGCATATTAAAAAGCAGAGACATTACTTTGTCAACAAAGGTCCGTCTAGTCAAGGCTATGGTTTTTCCAGTGGTCATGTATGGATGTGAGAGTTGGACTATAAAGAAAGATGAGCGCCGAAGAAGTGATACTTTTGAAGTGTGGTGTTGGAGAAGACTCTTGAGAGTCCCTTGGACTGCAAGGAGATCCAGCCAGTCCATCCTAAAACAGATCAGTCCTAGGTGTTCACTGGAAGGACTGATGTTGAAGCTGAAACTCCAATACTTTGGCCACCTGGTGTGGAGAACTGACTCATTTGAAAAGACCCTGATGTTGGGAAAGATTGAGGGCAGGAGGAGAAGGGAACAACAGAGGATGAGATGGTTGGATGGCATCTCCAACGCAATGGACATGAGTTTGAGTAAGCTCTGGGAGTTGGTGATGGACAGGGAAACCTGGCGTGCTGCAGTCCATAGGGTTGCAAAGAATCAGACACGACTGAGCGACTGAACTGAACTGATATGGATATATTTCATTCTGCCCTTGCATGTCCTCAAATTGTTACCTTCTGAGCCACCAGGAAAGCCCCTGATTCCTCATAGGCATGAATATTTCATTATTTGAAATGATTAGGTAAGCCATAAAACTCTCAAATATCTATATCCTCATCTTTCCAAAGGAAAAAAGGTTGATGTCGATGACCTTCCAAATCTTCTTAGGAACATGGGAATTGAGCTGACAGATAAGGAATGCTCAGAGCTGAGGAAAATCCTACCAATCAATGGTGAGTCACATGGTTGCCACTCGGACCTTTCATGGCCTAATTGTGTGGCCTTTTTGAGAAGTTATAAAACTTCCCTATGAAATTTCCTCTAGAAATTTCTGAACTTTAAGAGAATAAAATTCTAGGCTGTGTAGAAACCATATAACTGTCAATTAAATTTACTTTTTAAGTCATTAAAACTTTAGGCTATGAGTAAAGCAATTGATATTGTGTGTGTGTGTGCTTAGTTATGTGCAACTCTGTGACCCCATGAATGTAACCCACCAGGCTCCTCTGTCCATGGGATTTTCCAGGCAAAAATGCTGGAGCCAGTTGCCATGTCCTACTGCAGAGGTTCTTCGCAACCCAGGGATCAAACCCACATCTCTTGTATTGGCAGGCAGATTCTTTACCACCTACACAACCTTTACCACTGGAAACCCTGACTTAATATTACTTATACTTAATTATAAAACCTAATTATAAGCAAGGAAAGAAAGGAAAATGAGAAGAGTGAAAGACTAGTAGAAGGAAGAGAAAGAAGTTAGAGGAAAAAAATGGTGGTCTAGTGGGTAAGAATCCATCCTACAATGCAGTGAACACAAGTTCAATTCTGGGTCAGGAAACTAAGATTCCCACATACTACAGAACAACTGAGTCAGCATGACACAACTAGGAAGTCCATGCACCTCCACAAAGATCCCACGTGTTGGCAACTAAGATCTGATACAACCAAAAAAACAAGTAAATATTTAAAAAATGGGAAACAACAGTATAGCAGAGTGGTAGAGAGCAAAGTATCCTGTGTCTGAATGCCTAGATTCAGATCCTAGCTCCACTACTTATCTTCTGTGTTATCTTGGACAAGTTTCTTCTAAACCTCAGTGTGTGAAATTCCTCATTTATAAAAAGAGGATAAAAATAATAAAGCACTTTGACATGTGCTTAGTATAAGATAAAATTTCAATAAAAGTTATATATTGTGCTGTATTGTAGTTGTGATTATGATGATGGTGGTGATACGTGTGGTAACAATGATGGCTTTAATGGTGGCAATGATGATGATGCCTCAGCATAGCCCAAACTCACAATTGCTTTTAGTAACAAAGATCATAGGGACATGTCACTTTTTTACAAGTTGTTATTTCTGCCTTCATTTTTAAAATTTCTAGTTAAAATAATATTTTAAGGAAAATTATGAAAATATATATTTATAGAATTATGAAATACAAAATACTCTTTTATGAATGACCATACAATTTTCATTCTGACATGAATTTGGCTTTTCTTATAGCTATTGGACAGGTGTTTCAAAATAGGGTTTTGGATGAAGTAAAGTCTCTCAAAGATAAGAAGATACATGTTAAATTCTTGAGTCTAGAACATTATACTGTGAATATTATTGATTCATTACTTATACATCCCTAAATATGTTTATTTTATCAGATAATATTCTTTATTGTATTTTTGCATCTAGCTTTGCATTTACCCAAGCAGGTGAAAAAAATCATTTCAAATTTACTTGTATATAGCAAGTTAGTTATTTTAGAAATTTGTCACAAATAACCTGAGAGTTTATGTGACAAAAATAATCTGTTACTTCAGAAACCTATGAGATTAGTTGCTTAAGCTCTAGTTTAAAAATCATTAAGAAATTTTATGGTATGTTCTCTTACCCCCTCAAGCCCAACTTTAAAAAGAGAAATTTTTATTTGTAACTCTACTACTTACTTTTTCAGTCATGAATATGATTTATTTTTATTACTGTTTTTCCATTACATTTCTGAGGTCATAATGGCTATTGGAAAAATAATTCATGGGTAGAGTTATATTTTTAATGTTTTGAAGTCATTTAATTTGCCTCATTTTAATTTTCTCTTTTTCTAAGGTGGGATGATTAATGTCAATGATCTGAACAAAGTTCTTGGAAACATGGGAATTAAGCTCACAGAAAAAGAACATGAAGATCTGATAGCTAATCTTCCAGTTGATGGTGAGCATGAAATTTATAATATACTTTAACATCTCTGAGCTCCAAGGGGTTATGTCCAGGTATCTGCTAAATATTTCTATTTACATGTCCCAGGCTAAAAAAAAATTCATTATATTTTAATTGAATAGAGTCTTACCTCCATGTTCTCTACATCTCCTATAAAACTGGGATCATTCTTCACTCTAACTTTCCCTTAATCCCTGTCCCAGTTAAATTCTATTTAACATCCTGAAGATTTCTTTACTCTGCTTTCTTTACTCCTGACTATCTGTTACCACTGCCCCTATAAACTGGTATTTATAGCCCCAACTTTCTACCTCATCAACATTTGACTTTGTCAGGTGTATTATTTTTTAACATGGTTGATATGAAATTGTATCTTGTTTTAAACTGCATTTGCAGATTGCCAGTGAGGTTATCATCTCATATCTTTACTTATCATTCAACCTTTCTTGTCTGTAAATTGCCTTTTCATTATTTTGCCTAAATCTATTGGGTAATTTGCATTTTAATAATTAATTTATGGTTGTTCTTTATGTACTCTGTGCATGCGTGCTAAGGCACTTCAGTCGTGCCTGACTGTCTGCAGCCCCATGAACTGTAGCCCGCCAGGCTCCTCTGTCCATGGGATTCTCCAGGCCAGAATACTGGAGTGAGTTGTCATGCCTTCCTTCAGGGGATCTTCCCGACCTAGGGATCAAATCCGCGTCTCTTACGTCTCCTGCATTGGCAAGTGGGTTCTTTACCACTATTGCCACCTGGGAAGCCCACATACTATATGCTAATATGTATGCTAGTAGGATATAACATCCCACTCTGTATGTTAATCATTTTTATGTTTTATGTACAAGAAATCAAAATCATCAATTCTTTGGCACTCAGAACTGATACTTTTGAACTGTGGTGTTGGAGAAGACTCTTGAGAGTCCCTTGGACAGCAAAGAGAACCAGCCAGTTCCTCCTGAAGGAAATCAGTCCTGAATATTAATTGGAAGGACTGATGCTGAAGCTGAAACTCAATACTTTGGCCACCTGGTGCGAAGTACTGACTGGTTGGGTATGACCCTGATGCTGGGAAAGATTGAAGGCAGGAGGAGAAGGGACGACAGAGGATGAGATAGTGGGATGGCATCACCAATTCAATGGACATGAGTTTGAGCAAATTCCAGCAGTTGGTGATAGACGGGGACGCCTGGCATGCTGCAGTCCGTGGGGTCACAAAGAGTCAGACTGAGCGACTGAACTGACATAAGAAATATCTGTCTCTTACTTAGCGTTTTGCTTAGATTATCACCTTTCATTGAACAGAAGTTCTTAATTTTAATAGAATTAAATTTGTCACTGTCTTCCCTTACAATTTGTTTTCTGTTTAGAAAATTCTTCCTTATCATCAGATCTTAAAGATTTTTCCTATTGTTTTTATCCTATTTCTTTTTAATTGATGAAGAATTTATTTTGGGGTTTTTTTTTTGTGAGTTAAGAGATCTAATATTTTTCTGTATTAATGGCCAGTATTTCATTAGCCCTTTTCCTACTGACTTGTAATATTTACTATCACATATACTAGAGTCAGTTTCTAAGTTTCTATACTGTTTCATTGACTTATTTTTCCCTCTATCAATATACTATACTACCTTAATAATAAGATTTTACATTAGTAAATCTTGAAATTGAGTATTGTAAGTATCCCTTCTTGAGATGTGTTACAATGGAGTATTACTCAGCCATGATAGAGAAGGAAACAATGCCATTTGCTGCAGCATGACAAGATTAGAGATTATCATGCTAAGTGAAGTATGTCAGATGGAGAAAGACAAATAGCATGTGATATCACTTACATATAGAATCTTTTGAAATGATACAAATGAACTTATTTACAAAACAGAAACAGAATCACAGACTTAGAAAACAAAGTTGGTTACCAGAGGCGAAAGCAGCAGGATAAATTGGGAGGTTGGAGTTAACATACACACACTACTATATATGAAATAGTAAACAAGGACCTACTGTATAGCACAGGAAGCTCTTCTCAGTACTCTGTAATATCCTATATGGGAAAAGGATCTGAAAAAGAATAAATATATGTATAAGTAAATCACCTTGCTGTGCACTTGAGACTAACACAACATTGTGAATCAACGATACTCTAATATAAAATAAATTTTTTAAAAGTACTTTTCTTGTTCCTCAAAATTATGTCAGTTATTTTGTAATTCTTAGTCTTCCATGAATTTTATTAACTGCTTCTAAAATCTATGATTAATACCATTTGGATTTGAATTGAATATGTATTAAAATTAGTATTGTGGTATTCGCAGACTCTTGATGACTTTCCAAAGTTGATCTGGTTTCCCACAACCTTACGAAGATATTTAAAATCAATTATTTCTTTTTCTTGTTATATTTAATGTGTTAGGAATTGCAGCCCAATTTGAATACTAGAGGTAAAATAGGCTTTCTTGTCTTTTTGTGGTTTTAATGGACAAACTTCTAAAGTTTCACCGTTGAATAATGATGTCTACTTTGACGTTTGTTTTACTGAGGTGAAATTCACATATTCATATAACATAAAATTAGTTGCTATGAAATAGATAATTCAGTGGTACTTAGTGCATTCACAATGTTGTACAGTCACTAATTCCAGAACATTTTTGTCCTCTTTTGAAGAATCTCTGTTATTTTAAGCTATTACTTTACACTAATCCCACCTTTGGTATTAGGGTAATATTGGCCTCATAGAATGAATTAGGAATTATTTCCTTCTCTTCTATTTTTTTGGAACAGGTTAAGAAAAATTGGTATTAATTTTTCTTTAAATGTTAGTAGAATTCACCAATGAAACCAACTAGTCCCAGGCTTTTTTTTTGTTGAGAGGTTTTAAATTGCTGATTCAATCTCTTTACTTGTTAAAAGGCTGTTAAAGTTCTGTTTCTATTTCTTCTGGAGTCAATTTTGGTAATTTATGTTTCTAGGAATATATCCTTTTCATCTAGGCTATCTAATTTGTTGGCATGTACTTATTCATAGTATTCTCACATAATCCTTTTTATTTCTCTGAGGTTGGTAGTATGTCCCCACTTTCATTATTTATTTTAGTATGTTGCATCTTTTTCCTTAATCAATCTAGCTAAAGATTTGTCAGTTTTATTGGTCTTTTCAGAGTCAACTTTTCATTTTCTTGATTTTCCTGATTTTTCTGACCTCTATATCATCTGTCTTTACACCCTAATTTATTATTCCCTTCTTTCTACTAGCTTTGAATCTAGTTTGACATAATCCACTTCCAGGGCTTATGAAGTGCCCAGTCTTGCCTGAGGTATATGGCCACATTAGAGGAAGGTTACCAAATTAGAGTTCTGTTAGCAGAAAGAATAGTAAGTAGTCATGGCTGATGATTCGACAACCAGCAATGTCTGCCACATACCCCCAAAGCCTACCACATGGCCTAATTCATATTAAAAATTCTTTACATATTTAATAAATGAATTAATCAGTAGACAAAAAATAATGAGGAAGAAAATTTCCTGTGGTAGGAAATGGTAGAAAGCCTTAACACTTGTCTCAAATGTGTTTCAGTAGTGGCCGACTCTGTGCAACCCTATGGACTGTAGCATGCTAGGCTCCTCTGTCCATGGAATTCTCCAGGCAAGAATACTGGAGTGGGTTACCATTTCCTTCTCCAGGTGATCTTCCTAACCCAAGGATCAAACTCATATCTCTATGTCTCCTGGCTTGGCAGGCAGGTTCTTTACCACTAGTGCCACCGGGGAAGCATGTCACAAATGTATAGAAATCAAGTATTTACAGCAAGTCATGGTGATTGAAAATGTTGGAGAAAAGAAATTTAGCAAAGAATGAAAGATGAAAAGTATAGACTCTTTTCCATTTGTGGTGGCCACTGATGGAGCTTTATAGCTGGCATAAATTATATCTTGATCTCCTTATGCAGGAGTGTATAGCTTCATATAAGCTAGAGAATCCTTATAATCTAGGGAACAGTTGGTTCTTAATATTATTGGGTGAATTATTGAAATCTAGTAAATTATAAATTAATATATGTTTATAAAATATAATAAAATAAAAATAGTTGATTTTGATTATGAGCTATAAACAAGTATTTTATACCTTTTTCCTGAATCTCAATCATTTGTATTAATTGTACCTTTTTGAATAGCTAATGGAAAGATTGTTCTCAATAAGCTAATGGATGGAGTAAAAACTGTTATAGGTGAGTGACAAATACTCTAAATCTAAGAAAATAAATTATTATACTAAATTATATTTCATGATTTTTTTAATCATAGCATTGTCATAACTGTTTCATCATCATTGTTGATTTAGACATTTTTCCTTTTTATTAATGAGTGGTATTTATCAAATTTTCCAGAGTTGGTTGAACTTTAGATAATCTATATTTTAATAACAGTGCTTTGGTGCAGCATCTCGATAAGAAATATTTTATTCTATGAAGCATTTGTCAACAACATATTTCATATGAGTTTATAAATATCACATATTAGTTTAAATGACCAAAGTATAGGTGTAGATGAAGCACTGTAGATGAGGTGAAGCTTCAACTTATATAGGTAATCATGTAAAGACCAACACATTTCATTCAATAACTAAAGATCAAACATCTAAAATATTCTAATTTATCATGTACTTTATATCCCTACATTCTATTGTATACTATATTATCCTGTCCACATGATTAGGAGATAATACCTTTCACATATGTTTGTGATGAAGCTTTGCTCTTGATTCAATAACTGAAGTCAGTGCTACATAGGAAAATATTATTTATTTTTAAATTTTAAATCTTCAAGTAATTTTTAAAATTCTTACATTTTCTAATTCTTATTATTTGTAGGGGAGGACATGGATATCTCTGACACAGAAGGCATTCTGGAAAACATGGGGATACAATTTTCAGATAAGGAACACTTGGAGTTATTGAAAAAGTTATCAGTTGATGGTAAGCATTTCAAATATCACTGTAACAGTGGTTCCCAAGAGGGGACAGTTTTGCTCCTGAAGAAACATTTGACAGTGTCTGGAAATGTTTTTGGTTGTCACAACTTGGTGGAGGAGGGGGAAGTGTCACTGGCATCTGGTGGATAGAAGACATCTAATGCATAGGACAGACCCATACAGCAAAGAATTATCCAAAATGTTAGTAGTGCTGCTGTTAAGAAACTTTGCAGTAAAACCTTTAAGAAAACTTAGATTTGTGTGTTTAAGTAAGAATGTCTATTCCATTTGAGACTCGAAGAAAAAATTTGTCAAAAATTAAGAAATCTTAATTGCATAATTTAGTTCTTCATTTGAAAATCAAGAAACATACCATTATTATGAGTAAGGGCTGAGAAATACCTGCCATTACTCTTAATTCTACTGGAATACTTGATTTTAAGAGAGGAACTTTAAGAAAAAGGAAGTGTGAATATTCAGTCATTCTGTTGTGTCCAACTGTTCATGACTCCATGAGCTGCAGCAAGCCAGGCTTCCCTGTCCTTCGCTATCTCCCAGAGTTTGCTCAAGCTCTTGTCCATTGAGTCGATGATGCCTTCCAACCATCTCATCCTCTGTAACATCCTTCCCCTCTTGTCCTCAATCTTTCCCAGCATCAGGGTCTTTTCCAATGAGTTGGCTCTTCTCATCAGGTGGCCAAAGTATTGGAACTTCAGCTTCAGCCCTTCCAATGAATAGTCAGGATTGATTTTATTTAGGATTGACTGGTTTGATCTCATTGCTGTTCAAGGGACTCTCAAGAGTCTTCCTCTGCACCACAATTCAAAAGCATCAATTTTGCAGTGCTCAGCCTTGTTTATGTCCAACTCTCACACCTGTACATGACTACTGGAAATACCAAAGATTTGACCATTCAGACTTTTGTCAGCAAAACGATGTCTCTGCTTTTTAATATGCTATCGAGGTTTGTCATAGCTTTTCTTCCCAAGGAGCATGTGTCTTCTAATTTCATGGCTGCAGCCACTGTCCTCGGTGATTTTGGAGCCCAAGAAAATAAAATCTTCCTCTGTTTCCATTTTTTCCCCATCTATTTGCCATGAAATGATGAGACTAGGTGCCATGATCTTAGTTTTCTGAATGTTGAGTTTTATGCCAGCTTTTTCACTTTCTTCTTTCACTTTCATTAAGAGGCTCTTTAGTTCCTCTTCAATTTCTTGCCTAAGGCTGGTGTCATCTGCATATCTGAGGTTTTTGATATTTCTCCTTGCAATCTTATTCTAGCTTGAGCTTCGTCCAGTCCAGCATTTTGCATGATGTAACCTGCATAGAAGTTAAATAAGCAGGGTGAGAATATACAGCCTTGAGGTACTCCTTTCCCAATCTGGAACCAGTCAATTGGTCCATGTCTGGTTCTAATTGTTGCTTCTTGGCCTGCATACAGGTTTCTCAGGAGGCAGGTAAAGTGGTATGGTATTCCCATTGTTTAAGAATTTTCCACAGTTCATTGTGATCCACACAGTCAAAGGCCTTAGTGTAGTCAGTGAATCAGAAGTAGATGTTTTTCTGGAATTCTCTTGTTTTTTTCTGTGATCTAACAGATGTTGGCAATTTCATCTCTGGTTCCTCTGCCTTTTCTAAATCCAGCTTGAACATCTGGAAGTTCTTGGTTCATGTACTAGTGAAGCCTGGCATGGAGAATTTTGAGCATTACTTTGCTAGCATGTGAGATGAGTGCAATTGTGCGGTAGTTTGAACTTTCTTTGGCATTGCCTTTCTTTGGGACTGGAATGGAGACTGACCTTTTCCAGCTCTGTGGCCACTGCTGAGTTTTCCAAATTTGCTGGCATATTGAGAGCAACACTTTAACAGCATCATCTTTAAGGATTTGAAATAAGCTCAACTGGAATTCTATCACCTCCACTAGCTTTGTTCGTAGTGATACTTCCTAAGGCCCACTTGATTTCAGACTCCAGGATATCTGGCTCTAGGTGAGTGACCACACAATCATGTTTACCCAGATTATTAAGACCTTTCTTGTATAGTTCTTTTGTGTATTCTTGCCACCTCTTCTTAATCTCTTCTGCTTTTGTTAGGTCCTTACTCTTTTGTCCTTTATCATCCCCATCATTGCATGAAATGTTCTCTTGATATCTCCAATTTTCTTGAAGAGATCTCTAGTCTTTCCCATTTTATTGTTTTCCTCTATTTCTTTGCATTAATCACTGAGGAAGGCTTTCTTATCTCTCCTTGATATTCTTTGGAACTCTGCATTCAGATTAATTTATCTTTCCCTTTCTTCTTTGCCTTTCACTTCTCTTCTTTTCTCAGCTATTTGTAAGGCCTCCTCAGACAACCATTTTGCCTTCTTTCATTTCTTTTTCCTTGAGGATAATTTTGGGCACTGTCTCCTATACAGTGTTACAAACCTCTGTCCATAGGTCTTTAGGCATTCTGTCTATTAGATCTAATCCTTTGAATCTAGTTGTCACTTCTACCATATAATCATAAGGGATTTGATTTAGGTCATACCTGAGTGGCCTAGTGGTTTTCCCTACTTTCTTCAATTTAAGTCTGTATTTTGCAGTAAGGAGTTCAGGATCTGAGCCACAGTCAGCTCCCAGTCTTGTATAGAGCTTCTCCATCTTTGGCTACAAAGAATGTAATCAATCTGATTTCAGTATTAACCATCTGGTGACGTCCATGTGCAGAGTTGTCTCTTGTGTTGTTGGAAGAGGGTGTTTGCTATGACCAGTGTGTTCTCTTGACAAAAATCGGTTGGCCTTTGTCCTGTTTCATTTTGTACTCCAAGGCCAAACTTGCCTGTTACTCCAGCTATCTCTTGACTTCGTATTTTTTGCATTCCAGTCCCCTATGATGAAAAGGACATCTTTTTTTGGAGTTAGTTCTAGAAGGTCTTATATATCTTCATGGAACCATTCAGTTTCAGCTTCTTTGGCATTAGGGGTTGGGGCATAGACTTAGATATACTGTGATGTTGAATAGCTTGCCTTGGAAACAAACCAAGATCATTTTATTGTTTTTGAGATTGCACCCAAGTACTGCATTTTGAACTCTTTCATTGACTATGAAGGCTATTCCATTTCTTCTAAAGGATTCTTGCCCACAGTAGTAGATATAATGTTGATCTGAATTAAATTCACCCACTCCAGTCCATTTTAGTTCACTGATTCCTAAAATGTCAGTGTTCACTCTTGCCATCTCTTGTTTGACCAATCCAATATACCTTGATTAATGGACCTGACATTCCAGGTTTCTATGCAATATTGTTCTTGACAGCATCAGACTTTACTTTCACCATCAGACATCATTTCTGGGCATCGTTTCTGCTTTGGCTCAGTCTCTACATTCTTTCTGGAGCGATTTTTCTGCTCTTCCCTGGGAGCATATTGGACAACTACCATCCTGGGGGGCTCATCTTTCAGTGTCATATCTTTTTGCCTTTTCATACTGCTCATGGGTTTCTCAAGGCAAGAATGCTGAAGCAGTTTGCCATTCCCTTCTCTAGAAGTCCAAATGAGAAAAGTAAAAGGAGGAATTAAAAGACCGCATGTTTTGGCATGGTAGAATAATAATAATACTGGCTTTACAATTCAAAGAGAACATGATCACTTTTGTTTGGGAAGGGGAGGCCTGTACCACATGGCATGTGGGACTTTGATCAGGGATCAAACCCATGTTCCCTACTTTGGAAGCATGGAGTCTTAACCACTGGACCACCAGGAAAGTCCCCAAAGATCAGACTTTGAAAGTATGTTTTTGTTTGTAATGTTTTTATAATTTGATATATATGGAAAATTTTTAAAGCCATAATTCTAAAATGATTTTTAAACCATCTTAGTGACTGATTTCTCTTTTTCCTGAATTATGTGTTTTTTTACAGCTGATAGGAAAATCTATCAGAATAGATTACTAGAAGGTATAAAGACTCATAGAGATAGGAGAGTCATAATGAAAAAAGCAGATGAGTGCTCTGTAATTTACCTTTTGTTGTTGTTGTTGTAGTATGATACACATAAGATAAAATTTCTATTTCAGTAACATTAAGTATACAACCTTTTGCAACTGTTACCACCATCCATATCCAGAAACTTTTCATCACCCCAAACAGAAATGCTATCAAAAAGCCCATTAAGAAATAATTTCCCATTCCCCTTTCTTCCGCCCTGAGTAACCACTACTCTACTTTCTGTCTCTATGGGTTTGCCTATTTTATGTACCTTATGTAAATAGATATCATTTAATTTTGTTATTTTTTTCAAGAGAAGTCTATATTCCTTTGGAATTTCCCAAACTTTGGCAGGGCTTGGAAAAATCAAAATCTGAATCTGTACCATAAAAAAATAAAAGATTTCTTTTATTCATAAAATCTGATCAACAGTAAGGCCAACCAGTCTGAAAATTTAATCAGCAATAACAACCATCACCTTTTAGTTGAACAGAAGAATTGACTGGATTGTCTAGTTTTGTCACATTTTAGAATTACTATATTTTGTTCTCATCCCTGTCTCTTTTTAAGGAGGGGAAATTGATGTTGGTAAATTGGACACAGTTCTGGGAAACATGGGGATGAATCTCACAGAAAAGGAACTTAAAGATCTGACACAGAGCCTGCAGACTGATGGTGAGCATCAAATGGTGAACATTCAGAGTTCAAATAGCAGAGTGGTTAAAGGCACAGACACTAGAACCAGACTGGACTGGGTTTGAATTATGACTCTTCATGTTTAAAGTTATGGCATCTTAATGTTTTTCTGTCTCAGTTTCTTCATACATGAAAGGAGTACATTAATAGCACATCCATAATAGAATTTTGTGAGGATTAAATTAAACCAGTCCCTGGTATTATACATAATGTGTCCAATAAAGTCTCTTATTACTATGATAAATATTATTGTTATAATCATTTCTATTATTATCAAGCACCTCTGAAAGCTTGTGAGATTATAGATCTCTTCAAAATGCTTACTTGATATCAAGCTGCTTAGAAAAAGTTTGAAAACCCAATATGGAAGTAAGAGCAAACATTTTCTCTTGACTTTTACATTAACTTATTATATTAATTTTTTTTTGAGTGATGAAGTCTACACATTGCTGAGAATGTCAACAGGATTACTGAAGGACCATTAGGGAGACAAGGAAAAAAGAGAAAAAGTGGGGAGAGGTTGTAGAAGGCAAGGCTTGTGACAATGGGATATGACAAAATTAAAAGAGTAAAATTGAAAAAAAAAAAAAGGGAGAAACAAAGAAAGCCTACTGAACATAATGATTAAAATTTCACCCCAAATTGCATCAAATTTGCAGAGATATCTACCCCCAGCTGTTTAAAATAGAAGCACAAAGACAGTGTCACATTTTTTGTCCCCTTAGAGACTCTCATCACAGAGCAAAGTTGTCTATAATTAGGGCCACCCAGCGAACATGTTCTTCCTCCTTTAGAAGGCTATAAAGGTTCCTGTATGATGTTGCCAGACTCCATTATCCAGGAGCTGATGTTGGACTACAGTTCCCTCTTGGAAACCTGGAAACAAGCTCTGATTTTTTAAGAAATGTTAAGTAAGATTGAAGTGTAACTATTTACAGAGCAACTCCCTCCTAGAAGAACAAAATCTAGAATATGTGAACTTTAGAAGATTCCAGTAAGGCCAAGAAATATCTCACCGCTGGACAAATCCATTTTTCCCCATCTTAATCAGATGCCATTTAGTAGCAATTTTGTCATTTCTTATGTTACATTTTTCAGAGATAAGTTCTTGGTTTTTTTTAATTAATTAATTACTTTTAATTGGAGGCTAATTACTTTACAGTATTGTAGTGCTTTTTGCCATGCATTGACATGAATCAGCCATGGGTGTACATGTGTCCTCCATCCTGAACCCCCTTCCCAAATCCCTACCCATTGCATCCCTCAGGGTTCTCCCAGTGCACCAGCTATGAGTGCCCTGTTTCATGCATTGAACTTGGACTGGTGATCTGTTTCACATATGATAATATACATGTTTCAGTGCTATTCTCTCCAATCATCTCACCCTCGCCTTCTCCCACAGAGTCCAAAAGTCTGTTCTTTATATCTGTGTCTCTTTTGCTGTCTCACATATAGGGTCATCATTACCATCTTTCTAAATTCCATATATATGTGTTAATATACTGGATTGGTGTTTTTCTTTCTGACTTACTTCACTCTGTATAATTTTTCATCTACCCTAGAACTGATTCAAATGCATTCTTTTAATAGCTGAGTAGTATTCCATTGTGTATATGTACCACAGCTTTCTTATCCATTCATCTGCTGATGGGCATCTAGGTTGTTTCCATGTCCTAGCTATTGTAAACAGTGCTGCGATGAACGTTGGGGTACATGTGTTTCTTTCAATTCTGGATTCCTCGGTGTGTATGCCCAGCAGTGGGATTGCTGGGTCATATAGCAGTTCTATTTTCAGTTTTTTAAGGAATCTTCATAGTGTTCTCCGTAGTGGCTGTACTAGTCTGCATTCCCACCAACAATGTGAGAGGGTTCCCTTTTCTCCCCACCCTTTCTTGCATTTATTGTTTGTAGACTTTTTGATAGCAGCTGTTCTGACCAGTGTGAGATGGTACCTCATTATGGTTTTGATTTGCATTTTTCTAATAATGAGTGATGTTGAGCATCTTTTCATGTGTTTGTTAGCCATCTGTATGTCTTCTTTGGAGAAATGTCCGTTTAGTTCTTTGGCCCATTTTTTGATTGGGTCATTTATTTTTCTGGAATTGAGCTGCAGGAGTTGCTTGTATATTTTTGAGATTAATCCTTTGTCTGTTGCTTCATTTGCTATTATTTTCTCCCAATCTGAGGGCTGTCTTTTCACCTTGCTTATAGTTTCCTTTGTTGTGCAAAAGCTTTTAAGTTTCATTAGGTCCCATTTGTTTATTTTTGCTTTTATTTCTAAAATTCTGGGATGTGGGTCATAGAGGATCCTGCTGTGATTTATGTCGGAGAGTGTTTTGCCTATGTTCTCCTCTAGGAGTTTTATAGTTTCTGGTCTTACATTTAGATCTTTAATCCATTTTGAGTTTATTTTTGTGTATGGTGTTAGAAAGTGTTCTAGTTTCATTCTTTTACAAGTGGTTGACCAGTTTTCCCAGCACCACTTGTTAAAGAGATTGTCTTTTCTCCATTGTATATTCTTGCCTCCTTTGTCAAAGATAAGGTGTCCATAGGTACGTGGATTTATCTCTGGGCTTTCTATTTTGTACCATTGATCTATATTTCTGTCTTTGTGCCAGTAACTGTACTGTCTTGATGACTGTAGCTTTGTAGTATAGTCTGAAGTCAAGCAGGTTGTTTCTTCCAGTTCCATTCTTCTTTCTCAAGATTGCTTTGGCTAGTCGAGGTTTTTTGTATTTCCATACAAATTGTGAAATTATTTGTTCTAGTTCTCTGAAAAATACCGTTGGTAGCTTGATGGGGATTGCATTGAATCTATAGATTGCTTTGGATAGTATACTCATTTTCACTCTATTGATTCTTCTGATCTATGAACACGGTATATTTCTCCATCTATTTGTGTCCTCTTTGATTTCTTTCAACAGTGTTTTATAGTTTTCTATATATAGGTCTCTTGTTTCTTTAGGTAGATATATTCCTAAGTATTTTATTCTTTTCATTGCAATGGTGAATGGAATTATTTCCTTAATTTCTCTTTCTGTTTTCTCATTGTTAGTGTACAGGAATGCAAGAGATTTCTGTGTGTTAATTTTATATCCTGCAACTTTACTATATTCATTGATTAGCTCTAGTAATTTTCTGGTGGAGTCTTTAGGGTTTTCTATGTAGAGGATCATGTCATCTGCTAACAGTGAGAGTTTTGCTTCTTCTTTTCCAATCTGGATTCCTTTTATTTCTTTTTCTGCTCTGATTGCTGTGGCCAAAACTTCTAAAACTATGTTGAATAGTAGTGGTGAGAGTGGGCACCCTTGTCTTGTTCCTGATTTTAGGGGAAATGGTTTCAATTTTTCACCATTGAGAATATTGTTTGTTGTGGGTTTGTCATATATAGCTTTTATTATGTTGAGGTATGTTCCTTCTATGCCTGCTTTCTGGAGGATTTTTATCATAAATGGATGTTGAATTTTGTCAAAGGCTTTCTCTGCACCTATTGAGATAATCATATGGTTTTTATCTTTCAATTTTTTAATATGATGTATCACATTGATTGATTTGCAAATATTGAAGAATCTTGCATCCCTGGGATAAAGCCCACTTGGTCATGATATATGATCTTTATAATATGTTAGATTCTGTTTGGTAGAATTTTGTTAAGGATTTTTGCATCTATGTTCATCAGTGATATTATCCTGTAGTTTTCTTTTTTGTGGCATCTTTGTCTGGTTTTGGTATTAGGGTGATGGTGGCCTCATAGAATGAGTTTGGAAGTTTACCTTCTTCTGCAATTTTCTGGAAGAGTTTGAGTAAGATAGGTGTTAGCTCTTCTCTAAATTTTTGGTGGAATTCAGCTGTGAAGCCATCTGGTCCTGGGCTTTTGTTTGCTGGAAGATTTCTGATTACAGTTTTGATTTCCGTGCTTGTGATGGGTCTGTTAAGATCTTCTATTTCTTCCTGGTTCAGTTTTGGAAAATTATACTTTTCTAAGAATTTGTCCATTTCTTCCAAGTTGTCCATTTTATTGGCATATAGTTGCTGATAGTAGTCTCTTATGATCCTTTGTATTTCTGTGTTGTGTTTTGTGATTTCTCTATTTTCGTTTCTAATTTTGTTGATTTGATTTTTTTCCCTTTGTTTCTTGCTGAGTCTGGCTAATCGTTTGTCTATTTTATTTATCTTCTCAAAGAACCAGCTTTTAGCTTTGTCGATTTTTGCTGTAGTCTCCTTTGTTTCTTTTTCATTTATTTCTGCCCTAATGTTTATGATTTCTTTCCTTCTACTAACCTTGGGGTTCTTCATTTCTTCTTTTTCTACTTGCTTTAGGTGTAAAGTTAGGTTATTTATTTGATTTTTCTCTTGTTTCTTGAGGTAAGCTTGTATTGCTATGAACCTTCCCCTTAGCACTGCTTTTACTGAATCCCATAGGTTTTGGGTTGTCATGTTTTCATTTTCATTCATTTCTATGCATATTTTGATTTCTTTTTAGAATTCTTCTGTGATTTGTTGGTTATTCAGAAGCGTGTTATTTAGCCTCCATGTTTGTATGCTTTAAAGACCGTTTTTTTTGTTTTTAGCTCAGAATGCCCATCTGAAATTATAACAGATTTTGTATTATGCTTAATAGTTGTATTTTCTCAGTAGTGTAATATGTAATTCAAATTCTAATTTTTGCTGTTAGTCAACAGGTAAATATTTGGAAGATAAAAACACAAGAGTGTTTCACTGTTTTCCTCTTTCTCGATACTTAATATAATTGAGATTCTGATTTAGTAAGCTTATTTTGTCTCTCTAATGTTTCTATTTGAATGTCCTTTTAAAAACTGATGAAATAGCTCATTGAATATCTATTATATACAAAGGTTGTAAGTAACAACTGTGTATGTATTAAGTCATTTATAACTTGCACATGTAATTTAAAGTCAATGAATTATTTTTGGCTTAATTATAATAGTGACTAAATAGTGAGTATGGGTCAACTTTATATGAGTAGAAAATTTCCAAACATAAAACAGTGAAATATGGTATACATCACCTTTTTAATTTTGACTCAGTAGCCTACTAAGTAATGGAGAATTTTCCAAGATCTAAATGCTTAAAAGCAGCTAAAGTAATGGGGCTTCCTTTGCATATAATTCTTTTATGCTGAAAGTTTTAATATCTTAAAGCAAAAAATATCAATGTCACATTGTTAATATAGTTATATATGTGAAATGTAAAACCTTTTCCTTATTTTATACCAATGAAGGGGAGAAATAAAATTCTATAGCAAGTGATAAGTACTAAAATTTTTTTGTTTACTTTCTCATCTTTTGTGTTATGTGTGTGTGTGTGTGTATAGATAGATAGATAGATGTAACGTGTGTTTTCTTGCAGTTGATGAGAAAGTTGATATGAAAAAGGTAGTGGATGAAGTGAAAGCATTCACAGGTTAGTGGTAAACTACTAATAAACTGAGTGTCCTAAGGTTTGACAATAATTTTTAATTTTCTAGCATGTTTTCCTGCTATCCTGCCACTAGATCCAATGGAAAGTTTTATCTTGTTGCATAAATTTAAGTTTGGAAAAAAGAAAGCAAAAAGAAAGCAATACAAAATATACTTACAGGACTGAATCTATATAGGAAATCTACACTGTAGAGCTTTCCTTCCGAATAAAATGTTTCCCTGCGTGAAATTCTAGGCAGGCACAATAAATGGCACTGTGAATTATTGAGTAATTGTATATGAGTCAACAATTGCATTATTAACAAAGTCATGTAACACTTTCTTATAAGATTAAATGTAATCTTACCTAATAAGCTTTCTACGTGGATTAAATGAACAGTAATAGAAATAAATTTATTTTTTTTTCAGAATTTAAAAAGAACCTTTGTTAGTATTGAAGAAACAATTAAGAATTCTGATTTCCCCCAAGACTAATAGGGGCTTCATTGTGCTTTTTGCTATTCAACCTCAAGTTGGGAATCATCATTAATAAGTATAATTATTTCTAACTTTTTAAAGGTGAAAATATCAATATCAATAACGTGGAAAATGTGCTGAGTGATATGGGAATTGAACTTCCAGAAACAGAATATACAAAGCCAATGAAAGCACTGCCAGTTAGTGGTAAGCCTAAAAACTGCTGCTGAACCTTCCTTTGAACAACTAGACCTTGTAAGCGTGGGAGGGAAGTTATAAAGCTTTAGAATTTAATGCCTTAGAATTATTGGGAAATTTAAACTCTGGGTTATTTATAAAAGTCCACCACCCAGATTGAGGGCTATTGTACAAAATAAATGGGTTGTACACATCAAAAATCTGAAAATCATGATGGAAAAAGAATGAGGAATTGTCCCAGGTTAAGGAATAAAGAAACATGAGAAATTGATTCTTAGTTGCTATTTATGACATTAATGGAACAACTAGTAAAATTTGAGTAAATTCTGTAGATTAGTTAGGTGTGCTGTATCAATCTTAGTCTTCTAATTGTGCTGTGACTATGTAAGAGAATTATATGCATGTATGTGTGTGCATGCATATATATATATACACACACATACATACATACCTATATATATATAAAATTTAGTGGTTAAGGGCATTGTGCCTGCAAATTCACTTGCAAACATTCAGAAAAAAAATAGCATGCACCTACAGAAAGGATGATAAAGTAAATACAGTAAAATTTTAACATTTGAAAAATCTGGGTAAAGACTATATGAGAAATCTTTGTACTATTTTTGTCACTTTCTGACTCTGACAGTGTCATGTAGATTTTGGTTTAAGAATCACTGAAATTTCCAGTTAAAATTGCCATGATAAGATAAGCAATGATTTTATTCATTCACTTGTCTTATTTTTTAGATTCCACAATAAGTAAAAACATACAATATTTATCATTCTGTGCGACTTACTTCATGAAGTATAATACTCTCCAGCTTCAAAACAAAGAGCATGGCAAAATATCCTCATAAAACTTTTTAAAATTTCCCCATATTGATAATTATTTCCCTAGTCTCGTTCAGTATCAATCTTAATCTTCTAATTAATGCACACTATATTTAGTGTTCATTATCTTAAAAATATATATATGTATACATATATTTATACATACACATGCATATAATTCTCTTACATAATCACAGCACAATTAGAAGATTAAGATTGATACTGATCAATCTCAGTCTGATTTGCTGTATTTATGCTTTATCTTTTTCTCAGTTATACTTCCAAGCAATTAATCTGTTATTATTTCCTACCCTACAAACAACCCAATTCTTAGACTTATTTGTTGTTTACTATTTGTTTAATGTATTAATCTTTGCTATAATTTTTGTCAGTTCCTTTTTCTGTCTTTAGGACATTTTCATTCTCTATTATTCTTGAAGTTGAATGGTTGACTGTTTTCATCTTAGTTGCTTTAGCCTTATTTCATGGGATCAGATATATAGTTCTTATTATCATCATTGTTAATTAGCTTACAGTTTCATTTTTTCTCTTAGACCCAAATGTTACTTCCAAAATAATTTTAATATTTTTAGATGGTTGGATTTTTTGACTTCTAGCATTTTAACTTTATTTAAATATAATATTAAATTTTTAGAGAAGTTTTAAGAAGAGTACAGAGAACTCCCTCCTACCCTTTACCCAGGTTCAAAATTTGTTTACATTTTGCCCATTAGCTTTATCATTTATCCATACTTTCTCTCTGTCTCTATCCACACCCCTCTCCCTCCAATAAATATACACACATACATACATTCTTTTTTCCTGAATCAACTACAGAAATATTAACACTCAACATCCAGAATTAATAAATTGACAAGATTTAATACTTCTACATGAGATAAAAAGCAAATACCAACTTTGGAAGTTATTTGCAACAAGTGTAGCAGAGAGATAATTAAGAACTTTTTAAAGATTTTTTTAAAATAAAAAGACCACCTAATATGAAAATAGACTTATAAATGGACATGAAACACTTTTTTAAAGAACTTGAGCATGTATATTCAGCATGGTAGAATTCTACAAAAAAAAATGGCTTTGTGGGACAAAGTGTGAATAGTTTTGTATATTTAAAGATTTTAGTATTCCTTAATGTTATTACTACTTCAAGGTAAAACAGATAAAAGTATTCCAGGACAAATTCTTCTTCTTCTTAAATATAAGAGATAAATTATGTTTTGTGAATTCCATTATCAATTTCCCTGTTTCATAATCCAAACCCCCTTTTTTAACAGATGATGGAAAGGTGCATACAAAGAGAGCACTAAAGGATGTGATGTCTTTCAGAAGTAAGAATTGTAATGTATTGATTCTTTTGTCTGATATCTTCAGTCTTTTCCTAAGATTTTGAATCCTTTATCCTTCTTTATATTTTTATTCATTATTTTTGCTTCTTTCAGTGTATTTTCATTTTACACAGAAATGATGTGTATAGTATTATCTTCATAGGAAATACCATACATGGAACTTTTCTAATATTGCTCCCAGGTAAATAGTTGGTATGTAATTTTGCAAATAAAAATTGAAGTGGAGGAATAGCCTCACCATTGAATTTAGAAAAGTTGTTCAGCAACAACAACAGCCAATTTTGGAGTCTGATCCAAAAAAATAAGTAAATAAAACTATTTTGTACAGTAAGTTAGGACTACTGGGAGTAATAGATGAGGATTCTCCAGGTCCAGTTACCATTTGGCCCAATAACCTTCTTGAGAATGTCTTCTCTATGTAGACTTGTCACCAGCATACGTTTTAAGGAAATGTGTTCCATTCTCATTGTACCTGTTGGCTTTCTCTATGCTCTTGGAAAAGTCAAATGGAAGCTATAGTCTTCTTATCAGAAATGGCAATAACAATACAAACATGCAAATTTTATTTTTTGTTGTCTCTTTTATTATAATACTTATACATACTCATGAAAGACATTTAAAGACAAATGTGTTTTTCATGTTTTAGATCATTCAGTGGCTTTCATGTTACTTTCCTCTCTTTCTTAAGGAGGAAAAGGTGACATCAGCAACTTGAGACCACTTCTAGAAAAAATGGATATCAAACTCACTGAAAAAGAATTTGAACGGCTAAATGAAAATCTACCTGTTGATGGTATGAATAGTAAATAGCATTGTCAGTCTCCAAAGGGAGTTTTCTCCATGTCTTACAGCTGAGAATTTCTAAAACTAGATTTAGTTGGTAATAACATAAAAGTTTAAAATCTTAAAGTACCCTAAACTTAGAAAGAAAAAGAAAAAGCTACAAATGCCAACTATTGTTACTGTCATTCAACATTGTTTTAAGGATTCTAGCTACTTCAGTGAGGAAATGGGATGAAATAATACTGAGAAAGAGACAATATTACCTTTAGTTTCAGATGATATGATTGTGTATCTAAGAAACACAACACAAAAACTAAAAGAAATCTAATTACTGAGTCTTATACATGCAAAGTCGCTTCAGTTGTGTCCAGTTCTTAGTTTCAGATGATATGATTGTGTATCTAAGAAACACAGCACACAAACTAAAAGAAATCTATCATAATTACTGAGTCTTATACATGCAAAGTCGCTTCAATTGTGTCCAGTTCTTTGCAACTCCATGGACTGTAGCCTGCTGGGCTCCTCTGTCCTTGGGGTTCTCCAGGCAAAGATACTGAAGTGGGTGCCATTTCCTCATCCAGGGGATCTTCCTGACCCAGGAATCGAACCTGTGCCACTTATGTCTCCTGTTTTGGCAGGTGGGTTCTTTACCATTAGCACCATCTGGGAAGCCCTATTGGGTCTTAGATAAACCATTTTGGTTCAGGTAACTAAATACAAGATAAATATACAAACCTCAGTGGCTTTCCCAAAGCTTACAATGACCAAATAGGAAAAATACTTGATTTATAACTTCAAGAAAACCCACCAACTATCTAAGAATGCATTTTACAAAAAGTAGGATCTATATAGAGTAAAATCTTATTAAGGAACATAAAAGGTTAATTCATGTTCTTGAATGGTAAACTAACACTCAGGTTCAGATTGTTAAATCAGACTGACATAAATCAGAGATCTTACCTGTCAAGCTTCACCAAATGATGTCTAGGATAAAAGCATTATTAAAAAAAAAAAATAGAGGTCTGAAATGTCAAGGGCAACTCCATAGTTTCTTCCTTCCCATGTTGGACATGCTATTCTGGTTGAGAATAAATGAAGTCTCTATAAATCACCTCACACAGTAGGAGCATTTAAATTATGAACCATCTCCAGAAAGTTGTATAGTCTTTGTGACATTATTCAGGGAACCATGCCTTACAGCTCATGGGTGCTATTTGCTACAGATAATTCTTAGCCAGAGACATACTGCTAAGGGCATTTCAAGCATAAAGACTCTTCTTTATCATTAACTAGAGAACCAACTGACAAAGATATTAAACTGGATCACCTTCCTTCTTTTCTTTTCACTGAGGATATCCCCTCAATGGCAGAAGTTTATGGGTTATAAACCACTGCTCTGAGATGGAAAAATTTCTCAAGATTTACTGAAACAAAGATATCAATTATCCTAAAATAATATATACACATTTATATTTTTTATTGTATATATTTCTATATTATATACCTATATCTTTATATAAAATATAAAATCCCAATGGGGTTTTTTTAATCAAAGTATAGTTGATTCACAATATTATGTTAGTTTAAGATATACAACATAGTGATTCAACATTTTGATAGATTATACTCAATTAAATTTATTATAAAATATTGGCTATAGTCCCTGTGATGTACATTATATCTTTATAGCTTTTATATTTTGCACCTAATAATTTGTGTCTCTTAATCCCCTTCCTCTCTCTTGTCCTGCCCTCTCACCCCTTCCTACTGGTAACAGTTTGTTCTCTGTATCTGTGAATCTGTTTCTGTTTTGTTGTATTAACGTGTTTGTTATATTTTTTAGATACTGCATTTAAGTAAAAACATACAGTATTTGTCTGTCTCACTCTGACTTCACTAAGCATAATACCATCCCATCCATCCATATTATTGCAAATGGCAGAACTTCATTCTTTTTTATGGTTGATCAGTATTCCATTGTATGTGTTGTGTATGTGTATGTATGTGTGTATATACATACACATACACAACATATCTTCTTTTTTTTTAAATTAAACTACTGATTTTATTCAGGGATCCCTCTTTTTCCATTAGTGTCTTTTATCTGCTGAAATCCTATGTTGCATTTAGTCATCATGTCTTCTTCATCCTCTTCAATCTGACAAATTTTTAATCTTTGTTTTTCATGATTTTGACAATTTTGAAAAGTACTGGTCATATATTTTGTAGAAAATCCCTCATTTTGAGTTGATGTTTTCTCAAAATTAGGCCAGGGAATATAAATTTTCAAAAATAATACCACAAAGATGGAGTGTTATTATTGTAGCATCATATTAAGGTGCATGATATCAAAATGACTTATCACTGCACACTACATCTTCTTTATCCATTCATCTGTTGATGGAAACAGAGATTTCTTTCATATCTTGGCTATCATAAATAATGCTGCTATGAGCATTGAGGTACATACAGTTTTTCTGATTAGTGTCTTCTGCAGGTATATACTTAGGAGTGGAATTGCTGAATCATGTAATAGTTAATATTGTTAGAAATATCCATACTCCTCAAAGCAAATCTACAAATTTAATGTAATCCCTATCAAAGTACCCATGACAGTTTTCACAGAACTAGAGCAAAAAATCCTAAAATTCATATGGAACCACAAAAGACCCCAAATACCAAAAGCAATCTTGAGGAAAAAGAACAAAGCTGGAACTATCACACTCCCTGACTTCACACTATACCATAAAGCTAGAGTGATCAAAACAGTATGATGTATTGGCATGAAACAGATGCATAGATCTATGGAACAGAATAGAGAGCCAGAAATAAATCCATACACACATAATTAATTAATCTACCACAAAGCAGGCAAAAATATACAATGGGGGAAAGATAGTCTCTTCAATAAGTGGTGTTAGGAAAACTGGACAGATACATGTAAAAGAATTAAGTTAGGACATTTTCTCGCACCATAAAATAAACTCAAAATGAATTATGACCTACATGTAAGACTGAAAACCATAAAACTCCTGGAAGAACACATCACAAGTAGTACATTCTTTGATCTGTCTTAATAATATTTTTTTGAATCAGTCTCCTCAGGCAAGGAAAACTAAAGCAAAAATAAACAAATGGAACCTAATCAAAGTTAGGCACTTTTACACAGCAAAACGAAAACATCAACAAAACAAAAAGTCATTTTACTGAATGGGAGAAGATATTTGCAAATAATATGTCTGATAAGAGGTTAATATCCAAATTTGTATAAAGAACTCATACAACTCAAAAAAAAAAAAAAAAAAACCTCGATTAAAAACGGGCAGAAGACCTGAATAGACATTTTTCCAAAGAAGACATGCAGATGGTCAAAAACATGTAAAGTTGCTCAACATTGCTAAGCATCAGGGAAATGCAAATCAAAACCACAAAGAGATATCGCTTCACACCTATCAGAATGGCTGTCATCAAAAACACAGCAAACAATAAATAGAATTTCCCTGGCAATCAGTGGGCAAGACTCCATGCTTCCACTACAAGGGGCATGAGTTTGATTCCTGATCAGGGAACTAAGATCTGCATGCTGCATGGCATGATCAAAAACAAAACAAAACAAAAAATAAGTACTGATGAGAATGTGGAGAAAAGGAAGACCTAGAACACTGTTTTTGGGAATGTAAATTGGTGCAGCCACTATGGAAAATAACATGAAAGCAGAAGTCTCCCAGTCGTATCTGACTCTTTGCTACCCCATGAAATTCTCCTGTTCCCTTCTTCAGGGGATCTTCCCAACCCAGGGATCAAACCCAGGTCTCTTGAATTGCAAGTGGATTCTTTACCAGCTGAGCCCACTAGGAAAGCCCAAGAATACTGGAGTGGGTAGCCCATCCCTTCTCCGGGGAATCTTCCCAACTCAGGAATCTAACCAGGGTCTTCTGCATTCCAGGTGGATTCTTTACCAGCTGAGCTACTAGGGAAAACATGGAAAATAATATGAAGATTCCTCAAAATACTAAAAATAGAACTACCATATGATCCAATAGGGTTTTATTATAAGAACTTGTAAAATGATTTTCAAGACAAGTGGAAGAATAAATGCCCAACTATATCCAAGAAGTCAGGAGAAAGAAAACTAGAAAGGAGATTTGCCTTATCAGAGATTAGCAGTTACTATAAAACTACCATAACCAAAACTAAATTTCACTGGCAAGTAATAGATAAATATGTAGACTTTAAAGTGAAAGTGAAGCCGCTCAGTCGTGTCCGACTCTTAGTGACCTCATGGACTGCAGCCTACCAGGCTCCTCCCATGGAATTTTCCCGGCAAGAGTACTGGAGTGGGTTGTCACTGCCTTCTCCAATGTAGACTTTAAATAGACTACTAAACAGTTTTAAAATAAATCTAACATAATGGGTAACTTGATGCTTATTAAAGAATAATTTTTTAAATAGTACTTGCCATCTAAAAAAAATAGAAATCCCCTTATCTTACAATATAAGCAGAAAAAAAAAAACACTTTGTGTGATTTGACACTCTCAATGTAAAATATAAAGATATTAGGAAAAAAATAGGAGAATATTTTAAAATATTGGTTTGAGGGAGACTTTCTTAATCAAGACAGGTTACCCAGAAGCAGAAAAAGAAAAAAATAGATGTATTTGGTAACAAACCAGAGAAGTAAAGGAATAAGTAAATTTTAAAGTTATTAAAAAACCTATAAAATTTTTAAATTAAAATATTCCCCAAAAATATAAAAAAGGGGTTAAGGGACAAAGTTGTATTGGAAAAGAAATAGTTATATTTTGTAACAACTGATAGACATTCTATAGCATTGATTATTCAAGAAATACAGGAATAAGCATATCATTTAGAATTATGAAGCAAAAAACCAGAACTGAAAAAAAATAGCAAAAAGTGCTTACTATTGAGGGGTAGAACCCAAGGGTAGGAGATTGGGTAAGGATGAAATGTAGATGTTCTGTGTATTTTGTATCTATACATTGATTTTT